TCAGTCAATATGAGATCATAGTAAGACATAGGTACAGCTAATGGAAGATTCTAGTAATGTCTGGAAGCACTAAGTTCAGTGACATTAATTGACGTTCAATACTTGGAACGAAGGCTTTCGACTGCGACAAGTCACTAAATTGACAGTGGAGACTTCTAGCAAATGGAAGTCAGGGTTGCCAACCTAATAAAACTTTGCCTAGATTTAGTTGAAACATACTTCTGTGATATAGTAAAAATAATCTTTCCTCTTTATAATATTGGACATTAATCGGGTTTTATGCTACCAAATACCGATAGCCTAATTCTTTGGTAGAAAATGTATAAGAATATTATGCGTGTTTAGCATAAATAATGCTTATAAGGCTTAACGAATTCTTATCAAGATTTTTGTTACCCTGAAATTGTACGACCCATACTAAATTTGTTGAACTATTAATCAAAATTACTGTTCCCATGTCCCAGAAACACGTTAGTAAATTTTTTAAGTCGAAAAAAATATTAAAACATAGCTAGATAGTGATTAGTTAAACATGTTTTTTTTAATTCTATCAATAGTAATATTATAAAAAAGAAAGATTTGTATTTTTTGTATTTTTTATGTATTGAAATAACTCAAAAACTACTGAGCTGATTTTAAAGATTCTTTCACCGTTAAAAAGGTGAAATATCTGTGAGTTATATAGGTTTTTTTTTATTCTACGCGTGCGAAGTCGTGTTGGATATTGTTTATGCTACTCAGTGTTACTATTGCTTTGTCATAGTGAAATGTTTTTTTTTAATCGCACCAATAGTTCTTGAGTTTATTCTTTACATGAATAATATTTTATGTATGTATGCTAACTCGTAGCTGAAATGAGATTATATGAACTAAAATGATTATTTTAGGATATTTCCCGATGGGCTGATTTGCCCACCAATCGATCGATCCATTTTCTCATTAGTTTTATTGTTTGTAATAATCCAATCGGTTCATTAGGGAACACCCTTATTCTTCACTACCATCACCACCACCAGCTCACTATACATCCCTACCAAGTGGCTCGGAGCCTACCCTAAGTAATGAGGTGACTAGCCCATAGTATGGTTACATACATACGCGTGGTCCCGTCCCTTATTACTGACTTTATTTTGTTACTAAAATATTAGAAATACGAACATTAATAAAAATTCTACATCATTACTGTTGTTCGAAAAACTTGTTCAATTTGTGCGGCAACGAAATCTTGATAATAATAAGCATTAAAATTATGTATTATGTTATTTAAGCACGCGCCGCAAAATGAGCTAAGTTTTCGTTAAAGGTCACTAATGGTTAAGCCAACTATAAGTAGAAGTGAAGTTACATTAATTTACTTTTTATAATAATAGTTAAATGTAATTTTTTTAACTTATAACATGACGCAAGCTTTACAAACACTGAAAAACTTCTGATTGAACAAACTTTTAAATCACATGGATAACATTTTATGTACGACTAGCTGTGGCCTGTGATTCCGATCGCGCGAATAAATTTATTATTAGTCTGTGTCTTTCCAGACCATGTTCTGGAGATATTTATAACAAACATCCATCAATACCAATCTTAAACATTTATAACAATGAATTTCATATTCAAATACATAATAAAACCAAAAAAATACCTTTCCTATAGATATTCAAAGAAGAAGAAGAATTAGGAAGTTATTAAATCAATTATTGACGCAGACAACTTTCCTCGCTTTCTTTTAGCCAACATAAGTTCAATGTAGGTGGCCACCTCAATCGGTACATCCATCATCACACCCCGACCACTGAAATTGTTTCTACGTCACGCGACCCTCATTACAACCCTTTATGTGACACAGAGTAGCATACTATCCGAGTTCCTAAGATTTAGGCAACTTGTGCTGTTTTATTATATTCGGAAGTAACAACGTCAATACGATTATTGTCGCAAATCTTGAACAAGCCTGTAGCTTAGCTGGAATTGAAATAGTGAAAGAATTATTAGTAAATAAATAAAAAAATTCTCGTTTTTAAAAAAAATCCACTTTAAAACTCTTAACAATTATGTTTTTATTTCCATAAGGAAGTATTTTTACCTTTTACTAACATTCTTACAGTTTTCTTTTAACAATGTTTTCAATTTGGAAATATAGGCCACATATCGCATTTTAATTTCATTTTTTAGTTATGAATTAAGGTTTATTATAAAAATAAACATGTATGATCTGCTTTGATATACACTGTGTCTCACTTTCGTGAAGAATTGCGGTATATTCGTGGCTCGCCATGCCTGCCGTCCAATCATCAATCTTGCCCCTTATGTTACGTAACACATTCGTAAACCCTTTGTTTTTCAGACCACCTTTCTATACAATTCTTTAGGATAATGAGATAATACAATTAAAAGTTTTAGGAGCTATTGTCGCTAAAATAATCAGAGTTCCTTTCACTAATATTGCGTGAAAGTTGCTATTAAGACGGCATCGATCTTTGTATGAGATTTGTTGGTGAACTTTATGTTCGATAGGTGACGCTGAACAAATCTCGTAGAAATGTCGATGACGTGACGAAAATTTTGTCACGAATACTCGTGATATTCCCAAGATTGCAAATATCTTAGTAAATACCTCAAAAAACTGTAATATTAGTTTTTCAAAGTAGATGATGGTACAATACATTTTTGTACGAGCAATTAATGTAACCCCACGGCTTTAATATGACAGTTTTCTTTTCATACTAAATAGAAAAGCCTGTTGTAAACTAAGTTAAATTTTCCAAGTTTAAGTTAACCACGAGGAAAACCGCGACATCCTTTGTGTCAAAACTTATAACAAACGGTTAAGGCTTTTACTTTTATTTTTAAATTCACAGCGTAGGAAACTTTTGTGGACAAAGTGAAAGTTTTATATCGTTGAAGTTCATTTTTCCTCAAGTTTCCTTTGATATAAACTTAAAAATAGATACATATTTTTTACCTCATATCTGCTTATGTTTGTAACGTCATCATCCAACTACCCGTCGACTGTTTGTTAATAAACTTCTAGTTATTAGTTAGTTGAGCCACAACTCTGTAAATGGAATTAAATAATCTAAATGTAAGTTTCGTGTGTGACAAAAGGTGTTATTTCTCTGACGTAATTTTGAGTAACGCCTGAACAAAACATAGCGGAAATGTTCACGCGAAGTAATTCATTAGCAGTGTGTTTCGTGTGGTTAATAATTAGTCAGGAGCTAAATTAAAAATTCAACATGTTAACTAATTTCGTAAAAAACGAACCTCTCTAAGTCAAGGCTTATTTTTGTATGCAATTTAAATAAAATTAAAAAGCACCTTAGCTGTTATGACCGTTGTCATATATTAAATTTGCTATATATTTCCGACAGGCGTTTTCAAATGTTTGATTTTGCAACAATCTAGTTATTTTAAAAATAATCTTTACTTAAAAGAAGTTAAGTAAGCAAAGCTATGCAGTGACGTTTATAAATAACATTGAATAAAACTTTCAGAGATAGTTAAAATCTTTAAGCTAAATCTAATTTGATGTCAAGGCCATTATATTTAAAGCGTTGAAGACTTGAAATAATTAGACAATTTGAGAATAAATGTATATTAATGTCAACTAATTAACTAAACGTAATTATGATCCACTAATTAACGCTTACTAAATTTTTAAGCCTAGTTTATATTAAAAATTAAAATACAGGTTGAGACATTTGAGCTAAATATATATATATAATTTCTGTAATTATGCTTCGATGTGTAAAAACGTAGCTTCTGTTTACGAATACTTATTCTGGGTGACTTCTACTTATCAAGTCAGTTTGCAGCGCTTGGCTGGCCAACCGAAACACTGACATTTATTAAAGGTCGAACTTTAAAAAACACGGCCAACAAACGAACAAGGCATGTATTGCTTAAATACGGCCTTTAGCATAAACGTGTATGAAAATCTACTTTTTTTTTAATTGAAGGTCGAATTTTGTAATATCAAAACGATTTATCATCATATATGTTGGTATGAGTGATTACGCAGTCTGTGTAAGGCTTTATGCTCTTCTGAATATATCAATTTATATAAAGGGAAATCTCTTGACTTTTGACAATTTGGTAAGGCATTTTGACACCGTTGTAATTAAGTTATGGGTCGACATAATTTTGAAAGAACATTTTATGCACTCTGAAGTAGAATGTTTTTATTAGACTACTAGCTTTCGCCCGCGACTCCGTCCGCGTGGAATTTAAAAAAAAATCAAAAGTGAGTAGCCATATTTCATCGAGATCCGTTCAACCGTTTAGGGTACAAACTCTAACAAACATCCATCCATCCATCCATGTAAACTTTCGTATTTATAATATTAGTAAGATTATGGTGCTTTTACCAAGGCTATACTAATAATACAATGGCCAAAGGTTTTGATGGATGGATGTTTGTCAAGACTTTGTAGGCTAAACCAATTTCGATGAAATCTGATATATAGGATAATCTGAAGGAACACATAGTCTACTCACTTTTGTTTTTTTTTAATTCACGCTGAAGTCGCGGTCGAAAACTAGTAGCCAATAAATTACTAGGTTCTAGTCATCTAGCAAATTTAATAAGGGACAACGGTTTCGTGGCGATACTGGGCGGTTTTTTATTTTATATTTTTATGAGATAAATGTATATTTTTGAGGTGGAAGGTAAAATAAATAGTCAAAATGTCAATGATGAATTTTATTCTAATTAAGTTTACGTGGAAACATGTATTATTATAACACGAATCTAAAGAAGAAAACACTATTATATTCTTAATTACGAAATACTTATACAAAATAACGAAATGTCTTTCACATTGTTGTCCTCAAAATAAACATATATTTGAAGAAATATAGATTACAAACAAAATCAGATGAGACACATCGAAATATGTTTTAAATAACATTGAAAAAGGCAAAGAATATTCAAAAATTAAGACCATGATTTGTGCCTATTTCGTGCGTGAATACGGAAACAAATTTAAAATAAATTTAGAAGTAATTTTTCAAAATTATGATTTTTATAGTAATGTGTTTCCCTTATCACGCCTTCGTTGACCTAAATAAGTGCCAAGTGTATACCTACTTATGTTAAAACCGTGTAACAATTACAGATTACTGTAATGAAAAACATTTTAGAATTTATCTTATTTCTTTATTTTGAGAAGGCACATGAAAATCTTAATAATAAATTAACTTCAGAGATTACTTCGACATTCGTTGGAAGCTAAAAGAAACATCATTTTAACAAAGAATTAACCAGGCTTTATCGTAAACATTTAATCTACATGTTAGTTTAACGGTTACATTAATATATAACATAATATATATGAACATTCTTACATACTATATAAAAATACCAACAATATTTAAAAGAAACCATTTGACTACAAGATTTACCTTCGGATGGGATAAGCTTCGGTTACTCCATCTCAGGTGATATGCCACTGATAGAAATCTTAATTTGTACAAACTATTTCATAATACAAAATGTCATCGAAAAAGGTTATTAAATTTTGAATCTAGAAATTAGACAGCGGTGTTAACCGATTCATTATTTGCAATAGCAATCCCAATCTGTTATCTTATTTTTTAATACACAATTTGATCCCAAAACAGATAGTTTTTTATATTTTTAAAGATGACAATATCTAGCACAAGAAAAGCATTTGTACAGTTACAAGTGAAATTAAATTTGGAAGCATTATACATGCATATTGATAGAATTATTTAATTAACGATTTTATTTAGTCCAAACCATGTTTGCTATTGCAAAAACAGAACGATAAAACAGATCTATCACTAACATTATAAGTAAGAAAAATATATATTCATTAAACTAATTTTATAAAAGCTCGTGAAAATATTTTAGTGTCACAAGAATTGTCTTTTATTATAATACTTTCTACTACACTAGACGTTAATGATTTGACTTCAACATATACATTATGGCAAATCGTGTTAAATACTACAAACAATCCAAAAGAAAAAAAAGTTAAAAAACAGTTCGGAATTTCTTAACAATTAAAAAAACACGCGAAACTTATGATATATGAAAAAACAAACAAAAACCCTTACCATGTCTTTAAGTGTGCTGCTTTGAGTGATTCAAAACCGTCACCTTAGTTTGTTAAAAACTTCTCTTTGGAGAAAATGACTCCATTACTTTGGTTACTGTATTATTGAAAAGACCATATCAAACGGTGCCTTAAACTGTTTCATCGAAACATAAAAACAGCTATCTCAGAGAATTCGTATAACAAAGAGGGAGATAGGTATACTTTTGTAGATTCGACTACCAACGGTAATAAAGTACATATTATAAATGACGAAAACAAAATTAAAACCATAAATGCAGACCAGAAATAAAACAAATGAATGAACGAAACGTAAAGCGAATTTCGTCGTAGCAAAATACTCTATGTAGGTACAAAAGTTTAGAGAGTCTATAAAAAACTTTTAACATACTACTGAGACCTATGGAAGCCAAATGTAACGACGTAGCAACAACGTCGAATACTAAAGAATTTATTACATCTATGCTTCAAATTTACACGCATTTAATGTACAGAGATAGCTTTAACCTCAAGTAATGAGTGGTCCAAATATTTTTAATATTATATGTCAAGATATAATAATTCCAATAGTCAATTGAATTTTTACAAAAATAAACGAATTTAGAATTAAAAAGACGTATAATCGTCGATGTCAAATTAAAAAAAAAATACACTGTTACAGCCTTATTTTGTAAGGTTGTTGAATTTAATTGCTCATCTGAGTTTTAAATAAAATTTACTTTTATGATTGTTGTTCTGACCCTGCCTCGTTTAAGCGATATACCTATTTTACGGTACAGATATTAGTTTTACAATTATTAAAGATTACATATACTTAACACTACAAGCTTGACAAAAACATTCTAGGCCGATAGGAACTAAAACTTGATAAACACTACATTTTTAAAATATTAACGAGCGCTATTCCGATCGAAATCCTGGAATAAAACAAGATATAAGATACAGAAGTGCAAGATATTCTTGATACATTAAATACAAAATTTTACCTCATTACTGTAATATGTTACAATTTTCATACATTAAAATGGGCTTCTGAGAGTAGAACCCTGTTGTCTTTTCTACATTTCCTATTTCATCTTTGATCCAATTAAACCATTCATAAACAAATCATTTCCTATGTTAGTGACATTGAAAAGTAACATTAAAAACTGGTTTCCCACATTCATCGGCTTAATTATACGAACAGCAGTTTAACTCTCGACAAATAGTTCCGTTCTTCAAAAACAGTCGTGCGTTGTGATGCGTCTTTAATGTGTCAACAGTGTGACTATGAATTATCTTGTTCTTCCCAATCAACGTTCGCCCATTGTGGAAGTTCAGTTTCGTACTCCCAGCCGGGTCCCTATCAAAAAATACGATAAATATTTACTCTTATTGTGTCATCAATGGTGTTTTTAACAATAAAAAACCATAAAAACTAGTTTAAGATACAAAATGCTAATTAAACCTCAATAGTTTTTCACTAGCGCTTTAGTGGCTTGCTTACTCGTATATATATTGTTTCAGTTTATGTATAATGTTTTTTGTGTTATACATTTTATTAAATGTGAGGGTAGTTCATTAACTAATTTAGGTACAATGTATGATGCCGTGCGCTCGCCGTACACATTGTTAGCGCCAATGGTGTAGTTTAGTTTAATATAAGCTGTAAGTCAATAGCAGTATGGTTTACAATACCTTGTACTTCCACGCGTGTAGGTACATGACGAGGTCGCGTGGTCTTGGGTCGCGGTACCTCACCCTGCACTCGTAGCAGTGCGGGTCAGCTGCTAGTGAGTCTGCAGCGGCGGTGCCAACTGCGCTGGTGCCGAGGCTGGCCACGGCCGCCGCGCTCGGCGCCCGCGACCCAGCCCCACAACCCGTTTGTGTCGCCACTGTCACTTTATCAGACTGTGAACGATATTAGGGTTTTCAATCTATATTTATAGTAATATAACAAAGCGTAAACACTTCTTTGTTATGTAAGATTTCGGCTATCACAACATATTTCTGAATAATACTTTCTTTAATTAAAAGCCCTACACTAACGACATGCTTTAGCCCATATATTTTCACCCTATTAAACTTAGAGGATAAATAAATTGGAAAACCATAATGTGGGAAAAAAAACCATAAATTACATCATGACTGCATTAAGGACACAAAATTGCCATGGTACAGACCAAAGACCTTCTTTGTCATTTATGTATTTGAATTTTGCAATTGAGAATTTGACAAACGTAAACAATAAATAATTTTTACATTTTTATGCGGATGAAGCCACACGGTAACAGCTAGTCGCAAATTAAAGGAAAAGATATCTGTTGGAAATTAAACCTTGATAAAACCTGCCATCGATAATAAACTGACCTTAGCATCATTGGAGTCATCATTAAAAGCAGGTGATGTGACCGGTGAGGGCGCGAGGGTACACGGAGGGGGAGAATTCGCAGCCACTTCCACCGGAGCCTCCGCGCCACTCGAGGGACTTGGAAGCGTTGCTTTACAAAAAACAGTAAATTGTAAAAAAACAATAGTGGATTATATACAAATTATTAAAAGTTTCTAAACTCACGAGTCATAACTGAAGATGGCGTTAGACCAGGTGCAGGAGATTCGAGTCTTGGAGATGATTCCCTTGACGTTGGTCCCGTGTCGCAATCATCTTCACCCACTAAACAAGAAAGAAAAAAAAACTGTCATCTGCATCTGCATGTCTGGTGAATGCTATTGAAAAAAAAAATGTATATCTACCTTTATCGTCAGACACTGGCTTCGAAAATAGTAAATCATCATCGCCGGCGTCAACTCCAAGCCAGTTTTCAGCGTTGTGTATGGCGATGAGGTCTCGCACTAACTGTTCATCAGTTTTACCACCTGTGTCTCCTCCTTTACCACGTAGTGGTCCAAATACTGGATGATTGTATAATGGGTCATTGACGACTGGATAGCCTGTAGAAAGAAGATCAAATTTATGAGTTACTATCGATTTTAATTAAGTAAAAATCGATATTAAAGTATCCAAAGAATAATATAATGGTGAAACTAACCTAAATATTGGAGATGTACTCGAATTTGATGCATCCTTCCAGTTTTCGGTTTACATAGCACCACACTTGTATTATTATTGGCGTTGAATCCCAATCGCTTGAACACCGTAGAACAATCCTTTCCTTTGGGTGAAACTTTGCACACTCCAATCTTGTAGCTAACCACCTCAATTGGTTCCTGGCATTCTATTTCGTCGCTACAAGTTCGAAGCAATAAAATAAACGTTACATCGAAATTTAATAAACCTCTATTATTAGTTCAAATCCAATAGTTCAATAACACTGCAAAGTTAAATTGTTATGCTAGAGATAGTTGGAGGAAAGTTTTCAATTGAAAATTCTGATGTCAATTAAATCTTATCATACTGAGAGTTTGAAACAAACAATATAACCTCTATCAAGTAACAGAATAGTTGGCGAAATTCTTGTTAGATATTTTACTTAATTTAATTTAAAGTAAGCTGTACTGAAAAAAATCTTACTCAGGGAAATGGCCATCCACTCTACAGACGTATTCCTTTAGCACTTGACGATTTCTTATCTGATGTTCCATTTGTCTCGCTTTCTTCGGACTTCTTCCGAATAGCAATAACCCTGGATACAGTAAAATTTATTCGATAATGCAGTCAAGTTATTTTTGTTTCGTAGCTGTCGATAAATTGGTATCATGACAGTCATCTTAATCTAAGAATTTTGTAGAATATAGTCTGATAGGATCTATGATACCACGATGATAATGTGATCAGCTCTACTGCCATAGAGTAATCGATTATGAAAAATCAAAAACTTAGGATCTACGTCATATTTGATGCCTTCATCAAAGAGTACGTGTGTTTAATCATACCTGAGGTTAGTCTGTCCAATCGATGAATTGTTCTCAAATTCTTCAAGTTGTATTCCTTGGCAAGTATGAAAACGACTGTGTTGTGTCGATATCTGCCACACGGGTGAACCTGACGAATCAATTATAATCAATCGTCAATTCTAAAACAATTATTGATTTTTCGAATTGATCAAACTTTTTTAAACGTTACATTTGAATATAATTACAATTTAACGCAGAATAAGCAAGATTTAATTTTTAAATATTTCTTTCTTATTATATTCTTTTTTATACATAATAAATTAAAAAAAATATTGTTAGGTGTAAACACAATAATAATGATGAAAGCATTCTTAATGGAGTGATGTAGAATTAATATAGTATAAAAACACCAGAAAGTTATATGCATAAAAATGTGTAACAAACAAAGAAAATCAGATATAATTTTTGGATCAAAAAGCGAGTTACTTGTGCTAGTATGCTGGGGGAAAGTTCAGTGCAGTTTGGAGATTGTAATATGAAAAAGGCTATAACATGCGATTCAAAAAGTATTGTTACGGAGTCTTTTGAACGAAAATTCGCGCTACGATGTTCTTCGAATTGTAGAAGCGAGCCGAATAAATTCTCTCTTCAAACCCATCCATGTTAGTTCATGGTATGAGTTTGTTTTTAATTTGCAAAACTATTTTAAATACCAATTTTAAAGAGTGATTGAATTTTGGCTATCACAAGCATCCTTTAGATTAATTGAAGAGAGAATGGAGATGTTTATGTGCCTGTCGGTAAAAATGATAAAAATAACAAACTATTTTCAGGCAAATTGATCAACATTCCACTTTCAAGTGGGATTCAAGAGACCGCACATCATCAGTTCCGTTTGGAGTTTCAACAGGTCCAAACTTGTGCAGATTACAATCTCGTGTCAGACCCTGGTAGAAAATTTAGTTTGGGAGAAATTACAAGTGCTTCAATATTCACGAATTCGACGACAATGTCGGTCAATTTTATAACATTATCAGTCCCTATTTTGAAAACATTGTTTTCTAATACTGCGGTTTTCATGTAATCATTACTGAGATTTCTTTTGAAAAGACCAGACGATGTAAAGAAACAAATTCAATTTGTATAGTAATACTAGGGATAGTAATGAGTACAGTAATAATTGTGACCAGGGCCTGACAGAGATTGTGACGTCACGCGATGACTCACCGGCAGCGAGCAAGGCTTGTCTAGCACGAGTAGCTCCTCATCCACGTGTATGATGCGCAAGGGACTAGCGAGCACTGGAGTCTCATGCCTGGCCCACCACGGACAGAATTATTCATTAAGGACAAGTTATAGTCCTATGACGTCACATACTTTTGTGATTAAATCAACGTAAGCAGTGCTTGATGATGATTTTTTTACTTCTTTTACAGTCTTTCGTAAAGATTCGTCTACAGCTTTAAATCCCATAGTTTAATAATGTCCGTTTTATTTAAAATTTTAACAGATTTAAGAATAGTTAAGTTAAGTTTAGGTGCAAAAGAACATATTGTAATTCTTGTTACAATTAGAAATTGTTTCATAGTTTCCAAAATATACTTTTCATGTACCGAGAAATAATCAAGATTCAAGGCCAGAATTCTGGACATAGACTTAAATGTATTACTCTATTTAAAAGCATAACAAAAATAGATTTTCTATAAACTACAACTGCTTAGAACAAATTGTCCAGACTTTTATGTTGTGTGTTTTTATATGTAGTAGTGTGAAATAAAATAATAGACATTAAAAAACATTATTTTTCGTAGGTAATCTAGTTTCAATTGATGATAATTTTGAATGCTTTAAAAATAATTGGTAATTCATTTTACATCAGAAATGTTCAATTGTAGATTTTTTTCCAAATAAATTTGCAATAACTTATGAACATGCGCGAAATCAATAATTCTGTTTAAATCGGAATGGGGTCGATTTTTTTTTATTAAAATGGCAATAATATATCAAAGTAGGCTTTACACGAGCACTTCGGGACCTCCCATTGTGGTGCATCAATCAAAGTAATTGGACACGGTCGGTCACTTGGGGCTTTGTGTTAAAATAAAAATCGCCACTTTGTTACAGCCAAAGTGACGAATAACAAAGACTCAAAGGTTGAAAAATATTTTTAAAATTCAAATCGTAATAACTATAGCATCGTTAATTTGCTTGGTTACTTCGTGTTGGTAATGGTTGGACTTCTGGACTGTCGGTTTTAGGATAATGGAATTTATTTTGTAAGTAATACGGAATATTTTTATTTGTAATTTGTGATTAGTTAGTAATAAATTATACAATGTTTAACTTTAATGGCAATTCGTAGAAGATATATTCTTAGAAGTGTTCTAACTAAGATATTACGAATGAAGTGTAAAACGCAATCTCGTTGCTCGACGTCTAATTTATTAATGTACCTCAAAGAGCTTGCGCCGATGTCTTAGAAGCGAAAGCCAACTTGAATAAGGACGTCTTTTGACGAGAGCCCTTTCATCATGGAAAACTGCTGAATATTTCTTGCGAGACAAACTGTGCATTAGCACCCCAAAAGGTTTTGAGCTACATATATAGAGTACCTAGACTTTTAGCTAAGATTAACTAAAGAAAATACTAGGTTACTAAAACTTGATCTAAATATTTTTCATTTTCTATCATTATTATTCACGTGATTTGAGTTTCGAGTTGAATATCTTGTAATAATTAGTTAGTTCTTTTATCAGTTTCATAATTCTTGTATAATATATTTTCTGTATTTGTACAAATTTTCTTTCAGAAATGTTTTTGGTATAACAGTTAGGGCCTGTCCCACAACTGACTGATAGAGGCTCATTTAGCTTAAAAAAGTCACTGTCAGATAAGGGAACTAAATATTGCCATCACATGTTTTACACGTTGGATTGTTATCAGACAATTAACAATTTGGTGGGACAGGCCCCTAATATCGTAAAACATTATTTGAGAAATCTATAGATATACTTACATTAAGTGTATTTATTCCTGTTTCAATAAACATGTAAAGTCTTTACAGAAGCTGTGTCACGATTAGAATGGACGCATTAAACAGGACAAAAGCATAGAACAATGATCTAAAAACATAAACTAAACTACTACTAGAACATAAGACTACCACTAGTGATAAAGTTAAGAAATATCATGCATCACAAAGGATATAAAAGGAATGATTGAAGCATTACACATAAACATGGCTGTCTCATTTGCCACTTACGGGAATAGAGGCTGGTTTGTTGACAACCACAATTTCCTCGTCGATATGTACGAGGGTGATCGGTTGGCTGGTGACCGGTACTTCGTGCCTGCAACGATACACACGTCAGGCTTCTGGCCTAAAAGTGCCTCGGACGCTGAGCAAAATATCAACGACAAAAAGTTATTTGTTTTAGTAGCAAACGTTACACTGGTAAAACTTAAATGCTGAACTAATCTTTTGATTCAAGAAAGTAAAGCACTTTTAAAACTTCACGATCGGAACGTTAATGGAGAATTCGAAGCTAAAGAAAAACAGAAAGAAGTTATTAATGAAGAATAAAGTTTCACACTAACTTGGATTAGGTAAGTGTAGAGTTTGAAACTTGTCTAGTGTTAAGTAGAAAGAATAAGTAACGAATATAAATTGAAAATCACGGAGCTCAATAACGAAGATATAATCATTAAGGGCGAGTGTACATGAGCTGTAGTGTTTGAAAATTGCTCAGAGTCCGTCGTACCTTGTATTGTTTCTCGTGATATGATGTACAAATAAGACGAGAACAAAACAACAAATGAACATGCGTGAGCGAAAGTACCACGTGTTGATAAAAATATAGAAGTAAAGTCAACGATGTAGAACATTCACAAATCACCTATTTAAAAATACATTTCACTTTGATTGTAGAACTGTGCACTCGCATGCTCATTCGGTGCTGAATATTCTTTACTGTTTGCCAATCTAATAGGCCTGTATGTACAAACAAGCTTAGACTTTGTGATCGCTGCATTAAGGCTTATTTCTATAAACTCCTAGATTATATCTACAAGATCGTATGCTAGAAAATTGAAGTCCTTTAATATTGTATAGTACCACACCGGTCTTCCAAATAGAATTTATATAGTTTGTGAAGAGGTAAGTAAGAAATAAGAGTTAATTTTACACAGGGATACGAGGTATTTTTTTCAACCTGTACGTGTATTGGACATAACAATTATGAGATATGAATATCAAGTGGACTACGTACTGTGTAATCTTGAAAAGTATAAAAATATCATTGATGTAGATGACAATTTGTATAAATTGTACGGTAAAGTTTTACCTGTGAACGACGTTAGCAAGTAAGTCGTTATGTTTGAGTCTATAGTCAGGGTCGACTCTCTCGTAGTTGACTGTGAGGGTGCCAGCCCTGATGCATCTTTCATACTCCGCTGCTGGGTGAGCTCTGAACTCACGAGCGAAGACATCCAAGATCTTCTCCCCGACCCACCTTCCTTTGGTGAAGGTGGTGAACGTGAAGTAGTAAGGATAAACTTTCCTAAGGCCTGGAAATAACAATCACACAATATCGGACTGCTCCTAAAAAATAACACAAACAACAGTTCTTTTGCAATTTTAGTTCTTTTTTACCATCTTCAGGTAATATCAAAAAGCTATGAAAATAGTAACTTAAAACCGAGTTGTAACAAAGGCATAGTTTTCAAACTAGACTGGTATAAAGTAGTTTGGGTGTTTATAGAAACGGAAGCGTTCACCGCCGCAACCTCAACTCAACTGTTGTTAAAGACTCGAATGATCTGTATCGGACGCAGACCGCAGCTTTGCGGTCGGACAACTTAATGTATAGCCAGTATGTTACACAAGTGTTGCCAACGCCATCTATAGCGGAGAAAATTACTTTCACTATAAACCTTGTATTGACGGTTTTCTGTACAGCTTTTACCTTAATCAGTATTTCTATGTTAACGCACTACATTCGGTTTATGAACATAATCTGTGTTTTATTAGTTTAACAGTGCCATATTTCTCTATTGATTTTTTGTAAATTCATACCATTCTCAATATAGTAAGATGTCTCGTTGTAACGGTCGTCTGTGAAGCCGGGCCTCTTCGCCTTTAGTGCTTTGGTTTCAAGTTTTGCCTGTAAACAAAAAACAACGTTTAACATCTGTGCTTTCTAATATTTGGCAAAGATGCCAAATGTTACTGGCAGTATACAAAAACTGGTTCAAGTTTTGATATTAAATAACACTTAAAGGCGATCTTAACTTTAAAATTGATATCGCAATTCGTAATTATTAGATATCTAGAAGGATACAGTCCAGTAGGAAATGCAGTTTAAATAAAAAATATCCTGGTTTTGGAATTTTTTCTTTAACATCAGAGTAATATTAAAAAAAAATAAATTGACAGAAAATTCGTGGAAATTGAGCTCTAGAATTACTTGTGAAAGTTTCCTCCATGGGTATGCCTGACAGCGAAATGAGAAAAGTTATTTTTTAAACGAAACATTCTACAGGGTGTTACGGGCATTTTATTTATCCCCGCATAAGCGTGCGTTTCCCTTTGTACTTATTTTTGATGTTAATGTCATAATTTATTTTGTTTTAGGGTGTTACTTTGTGAATTTATTTTAAGTGGTTTTGAAATCTGACCTTTTCATCGTTATTTAAACAAAAATAAACAAGCTTCTTTCTCTTGAATGTATTTAAGACGTAGAATTGACATGTGAAGGATGTTTGTTAGTTTGTAGTCTAAACTGCTGAATGCATGTCGATGAAATATGGCACAAATGTAGAAGATAGATTTATATTAATTCCACGCGGACAATATCGCGGGCGAAAGTTAGTAATAAATTAAATATGATTGACCTTTAAATGACGTAATTGAAAAGGCAGTAAAATTGGAACGACGTAAAATAAAATGACATGACAATATAAAATATTCTATTTCTATGTAAGAAAGATGAACAAAATGATTGTGTCATAAAATATAAAAACGGTTTTCTCTGAGATGTGATTTAATTTATAAAACAGCAGATGTTTTGTCCGGGATTCGCTCGGATTGTGATATTTTTGGCGCAAGCACCATTGTTCTGTGTCATAACTTTTTGTTCTTTTAATATATTCTTATTCTCTTCAACAGACGTTGCTTTGAATTGAATTATTTTCTACATTATATTGAATTGAAAAATTTGAATGTTAATGTCGTGAAGAGAAAAATGTTTTCTAGAATAATTTTATGATATTCTTTTCTACTTAATTGAGATACGACTCTTAGGAACGAAAAACCTAGTTACTAACAAGTATAATTAACAATTTTCTAACTATAATGTGAGGAAAATATTAATCCCAAGTAGGGTTCGCGACAGGCAGGCGACAGGCCGCAAAAAATAGTGCCGAATCTAAAGAACGTTAGTTATGAGTGTGGAAGGGTACATCGGTAGAGGTAGACCTAGAAAGAGATGGATGGATTGTGTAAAAGGTGACTTGATCAAAAAGGGAGTGATGACTGAGATGGCGTATGATAGAGTTATGTGGAGGACAAAAACCTGTTGCGCCGATCCTATGGGAGTAGGATAAGGAGATGATGATGATGATGATGAATAACGCGAGGAACAATCTTACTAATATTATAAATGCGAAAATTTAAATGGATGTTTATTATAGTTTGAAGCATAAACTGCTGAACAGATCTCGATGAAATTTGGCACAGATATAGAGGATAGTCTGAAAGAACATGTAGGCTTACTTTTGTTTTTTTTTTTAATTTCACAGTCGGAGGCGTGAGCAAAAGCTAATATAACTATAATACTCAATTATATTTATGATGTACAGACATCTATAGCTATAAATACGAAGTCTTTAGATTAAATTTCGTAAACAGAAACTAGTAACAACACCGCAACTCTCAAACATCCAAGCTTATTCATCTCAAACAAAGGGATCTGCTTGTGAGATGAGCATGTTAGAACATAATACATGTTTTGTTAGTATTACTCAATGTCCAGTCTGGACACATAATCTCTTGGTCTACTTTATTTTTTTAATTTAATGAGGATTACACACATACTCGTAATGTGAACGTTAAAATATTTAACCGTAAACTTTAACTGTAACAATAGTTCATTAACCGTGCAGTTAGTTTATAAGTACAAAGTTGCCGCAGTTCTTTCAAGACGGGTAATGTATTTAAATTAGGGCAAAGTGCGCCCCTCCTCGTAAATTCAAAGCGACCCCCGAGCGCCATTTGTGGAGATAATGAAAACAAAATGACCCCGACTCTAGAAGTGTTGGACGACCACAAACACTGTAGACTTGAGACAAAAAACAAGGTAATAAAAAAAGCAAGCTAAAAAGTCATCTAAAATAAAATGCACGGTTCAACGTTATACAAAGATTTTTCTAACACTAGTTTACGCTCGCGAATCTTTCCGCACGGAATTAAAAGAAAAATGTAGCCAGTGTTCTTTCAGACTACGTTCAACATCTGTACCGAATTTCTTAGATATCCGTATACCTATTCTATAAGTAATATTATAAAACCATATCATCCTTTACTATAAAATCCTTTCATCAATCTAAACTTTAGCCTTAAAAATGAGTAAGAGTAAGATTATGTGTTTTTATTCTTAAGTCTATGGTTATCGTGTTATAACTTTTCTTCCTCACTTGGTACAATAGAGTATCTCAGACGAGGCGGTCGCGTGATCGAACACATCTGGGGCGTTGTGTTATATTATTTGTAATGCAACAAATGACAAGCAATTGCAGAACTTTTAATAGATGAAGTGACAACATCACTATGTAGTTTGTAGGAGTCGCTCTTGGGCACTTGCTTTAGTAAACAAAAGAAAATCGTCTTATAATACACTCGGTTTCCAATTATACAAAAACATATTGCTATCTCAGTTTATTCAAATAGAATAAGCGAGATGACAATGTACATTGGTAATAGAGTTTCTGTAGAAAAAACTAACAGTTTTCTACTACCACGTTTCTATGTTCTTTTTATTTAGAGACTGAGTCAACTGAGCCGCACCACGATGCTTGTTTTACGTAGACCGATTTTCATCAGTCGATTAAACAGAGTTATAGACTAATGAAATTGCACCCTTATGCCTTACTAGCTGTCCCATGCGACTTCATCCGCATTTCAATTATTTCAATTTTTCAATTTATTGTACACATTTGTCAAATTTTCTATTGCAAACGTCAAAATGACATGACATGATGACAATCTTGCTTCTTGATGTTGGCAGCAATTTATGGTCTCTTTCCCACATTAGGAATTTTATCCAAAATATTTAACCCCTAAGTTTAATCTCGTGAAAATATATAGACTAAAGCGTGACGTAAGTGTAGGGCTTTTTATTACAAAAAGAATTATTCAAAAATATGCTGTAATTGCTGACATCTTAGGCAACAAAGAAGTGTGTGTTTACGCTTTATTATAATAGTATAGATAGGGGTCAGTAGATTCTAGCAACATGTAATAATTAACTATCGTAAACTAAGGTAGTATAATTTATTAACATGGGCTAGGTCACCTATCCTGTAAAGGCCAGCTTGCTCGCATGACAGACCCCAATGAAAGCTGGTAATAAATCTTGAATAGTTTCACCGCTACGACTCCTATATATCTACATAGATATTACTTAGTAATTATTTATGTTCTATTTGTAATGTACTGAAATATTTGAAGTGTTCTGTTGTCATTTACCATCTTCTTTAATCTATACTTCTACAGTAATATTATAAAAAGGAAAGATCTGTATTTTTGGACATTTGTATGTATTGAAATAACTCATAAATAACTAGGCCGATTTCAAAAAATCTATCACCATTAGAACGATTATTTTTCTGTAAGTAACATGGGCTATGTTTTTATTACTTTTATAATTTCACGCGGGCGAAGTCGCGAGCAACAGCTAGTAATATTATAAAGAGGAAAGATCTGTATTTTTGGATATTTGTACGTATTGAAATAACTAAAAAATTACTGGGCCGATTTCAAACATTCTTTCGAAATTTAAAAGCTACGTTATCGTTGAGTAACATAGGCTATGCTTAAAAAATATAAATAACTTTTATGTCATGTATTTATACAAATCGTTAATCTATTAATACATAGATAGGAATATTGTCAAAATTAAAATTTCAGTACATTTTTTTCTACTTTTTGTATCAAATAGTATGTTAAAGCGCTATAGGAATAACTGAAGTCACTTTTCACCGCAATTAACCTCATTTGAAGTATTTAATGTCACGAAAGGAAATGATAACGAAAGCCATAACTGGGTCGCCGCAGTCTCATGGAAAACAATCCTAAAATTAGAATTTGAAAATTTAAAATAATTAACTAAGGTCAAACGAATTAATGTAAAGAATCAAAAAATATATCCAGCCGAATTCTGAAACGAATCTTGAACATTTTTCTTTTTAAACGCCGCCCACAATTTGTCAATGTCTAAATTTTAATAGTATTTGGAGTTTAACGTGGCCTTATCATTTGAGACGCGGTTACATTTAAATTTCGTTTCAATATTTGTTTGTTTGTCTGACTTTACTAGATACAGTAGTAAGCTAGCAATCATACTAATACTAATATTATAAATGCGAAAGTTTAGATGGATGGATGGATGGAGGGATGGATGGATGTTTGTTAGAGTTTGTAGCCTAAATGATGAAATTTGGCATAGATGTAGAGGATAGTCGGGAAGAACACATCAGCTTTGTTTTGTTTTTTTTTTTTTTAATACCACGCGGAAAGAGTCGCGGGCGAAAGCTAGTTAACAATAAATGTATAAACATCTATAACACTCGATCAATAATTAATCGGAGTCACTTTCTATAGTACAAGGATGAATTTTATGTAACCAAGTAAGTGTGGTCCCGGTAGTTCCGAATCGGCACACGTCCTACACGGTGACATGGAATACTAAACAGAAGCCAGTGCAGTTGCAATGTACACATTACACATTACGTAACGTGTACAGTGTACAATACACATGTTAACGACAAACGCAGCTATTGTGCTATCGGGTAAGCGAATATTAACAATTTTAATTTTTATTGTTAGTTCTATTTATTTATTGCTCTGTGCAGCCTCATTTTAGAGAGTGTGCGCCTTATTTTGACCATCTCTCGTATTTCTCAGTTCAGTAAGGTTCTTAGTAATGTGGATGGCATTATGCATTGTGCGACATTTTTTTTTTAAAATAAATTTATCTTTGACTCGATCTTGCATAGATGTTTAACGTATATTCAGCAATGTAAAGAACCTTTAAGTAAAGAAAACTCACTTCAGTAACTACGTTGTATACAAGTTTGTCGATAAAAACGCCTCAAGTTTCACCTCGACTCAAGACTTTGAGTAGACTTCACGTATCTTTTTATAAAAAAACACTTAGGTTTGATTTAAGAGTTTGGAGAGGTCTGTAAGTTACGAACATAAAAGATAAGTTTACCTTAGAAGATAAGTTTCTAGTAAGTTCAGAAAATACTATGCGAATATAAATGCGAACGTTTGGATGGATGTATGTGCAAAACAGCTCAAAAAATCTCGCTAAAATTTCTCTACTCTATTTTAATAGGCTACTTATTAAGTTATTTTTTTAATTCCACCGTCGAAGACACGGGAAAACTATATTATAAAAGTTTTAAAAACACATTTTAATATATTACAAAAAACCCAAAACAGGTATTAAAAGAAAACAAAAGAAAGCCGATTTTATAATAATATTTGTCACAAACCTTTTTCAAGTCCTTATTAATATCTGCGTCGTCAGCTTTTCTTTTTTCGCACGACAGAATGCAGTTCTTTCCGTTGTCTTTTTCACCCTGCAACAAGGAAGATTTCACGTTAATAGGGAAGTAAAGATGTCGGCTTGAAGTTAATGTTCGCTGCTGGAAGAATTCTTTATCATAAAGAAACTTTGCAAGCGTTTCAAATACATTTTAGTATAAACTTACTTTAGACCTTTCATACCGTGTCTAGTGGCCGGATTACATTTTAGACAAATGCCGTGACTATCGATACATTATCCGTAGACCAATCTTACTAACATCATAAATGCAAAAGTTTAGATGGATAATTGTTAGAGTTTGTAGCTAAAACTGCTGAACGGATCACGGTAAAATTGGTAATATGTGTTGACCATAGTGCGAAAGAAGACATAGGATATTTACTTTAGTTTTTTTAGTCCTACGCGGGAGAAATCTTGTTAATAATAAAGTTTTTGTTCCGAGAACAGTGTGGTGATACATGTTAAGGTAAACTTAACTACGATGACATCCATATCAATAAACTTAACAGTGGTAGAGCCCGCTTTAACATCTTCGCACGAATGGGTCGGCTCGCCCGGTGTAATACCACGACCACACAGAAAACAGGCGTGAAGTGGAAGCAATTCCGCGTTTCGTCTGATGAGTGTGGTGCCGGATGCTTAATTTTAGTCCCTTTCCCTTTCCACCCTTTTCTTAAGAGGAAAGGATGGGAAGGAGAAGTGGATTTAACGGTAGAGGAGACGCATAGGAAGAGTAAATGTCCTCTTTATGTGCGTCTCCTCCTCCGTCAATCAAGGGTAGGCAACGCATCTGCAATTGCAGATGTTTATGGACAGCGGTCGCTTTCAATTTCGGTGGTTTGAGGTGGCCGCTTGCTCGTTTGCCACCTTTTATTATAAAAAAAGTATATTTTTGGGGGTAATAGAGTAAAATTGATTTTATCGTTTAACGGTATAAAAGTTTTTGTTATAAAATAGAGAAATATTTGCAATTACATGGCAATATTTCTCCTGTGTGTCAACGGGCCGAAGTAAGCGGGGCGAAAAGTTAAATAAAACAAGTTGAAATATGGCGACATAATCTGCCTCGTAAATCATTATATACGGAATGCGTATAAAGAATGTTGCACAGAAGATATCGTACGTGTAACCTCATAACCGTGAATTTCCACTGTAGGTAATTTTAACCTACGTTTAATAAATCAAATTTTAACGTACTAGTCACCCATTGGTCGAATTTAGTCTACAATTCATCACACACTTCTTAACATTAACTGTGTATGTTTAATCATTCGCGTTATTTATTTAAAAATGGGTGCAAAACATTCCTTTCATGTTTATTCTGGACATATGTCAATCTATACTAATATGATAAAACGTTAACACACTTCTTTGTTGCCTAAGATGTCAGCAATTACAGCATATTTTTGAATAATTCTTTCTTTAATAAAAAACCCTACACTTACGTTACGCTTTAGGCTCTATATTTTAACGCCATTAAACTTGGGGGTAAATATTTTGGATAAATAATAAATAAATAAATTCATTTAACTAACAAAAATGGTTACAGAAAATTGATAAAAGCCCTAATGTGGGAAAGAGACCATAAGTCGCTGCCAACATCAAGGAATCAAGGTTGCCATGGTTCGATATCGATTCGATTTTGACTTTTGCAACTGATAATTTGACAAATGTAAATAATAAAATTAGGTTTTTATAGTTTAATGCGGATGAAGTCGCATGAGAACAGCTAGTTTAGTATAACAATAATATCACATATAGCACAGTGTTTATAAACTGAGCGCACTGGTATTCCGGTAATCGTGCGTAATACGCGAATTAATGTAAAATAGAAAATGATGAAAGTTGGTGAATTATTATAGGGCTACGCTCTCGGGAGCTCGAGTTGTGTGGAGGTGAATGACGTAAACACGTCACTTCATTTGAGTCGACTGCCTTACTTCGTACGTAAGGTAAGCTTTTAAACAATTACTCATATTTGTTTATTTTTATTCCAAAACACCTGGTTCAATACGACAAAAGTTTTTGTGAATTTCCATAGTTTCCACACTAAGAGTTTCGCTTTGTGACAATCTATCGACTCTGAATAATGATACTATGAATTTTTATTTTAAACGAAAGTTTAAATAGATGGATAGATGTTAGAGTATGTAGCCTAAACGACTGAAAGGATTTCGATGAAATTTGGTATAGACGTAGAGGATAGTCTGGAAGAACACATGGACTACTCACTATTGCTTATTTGAATTCCACTCGGACGGAGTCGCGGGCGAGAGCTAGTTTTTGACCGACTTCCCAAAAGAAGGAGGTACTCAATTCGTCTGTATGTTTTTTTTTTTTTTATTTTTTTTTTTTTT